CTCGGTTCGGTGACAAAACCTAGCCACTATACCAGCTAAACACCTTTTTGGCGGATTGATCCCGTGTGGATCTCATGAAAGCAAAGTCTGCCCTGGATTGACGAATGCCATTAGCCCGAAACCATGGTCTCTATGTGGACGCTTCTCAGTTTGCCAAAGCTGGTATTGTGGCTTTGTCAACGACCTGACTGAATTAGTTTGTGGAGACCATCAATAGATTGACGCTTAGTTTTAGTGTCTATTTTGACGGGAGAGGCTACCTTTATTTTTATATATCAATATTTGTTAAACCTTTCAGCTTTTATTCAATTTATAGTGATTTCTCGAATTAAAAAAAAATCTAAACATTTTTTAAATGAAGATTAAACAAGATGACAGAGCGCTGTTTGGGTAACTAGCATTTATTGATGGGAATAGGTTGTGATATTTTAAAAATATATCAAAATTGGAAATAAGCATACAATAAAAACAATATTAATAATATACAGAATAAATACGTTGTTATGCCTCGACAAAGGTTGGTGTTCAGCCAACCGAATTATTGGAAAATAAATCCTTCCTTCAATCCAATATATATATACCTTTTTAAATTATCTAAATATTTTATTATTAATTTTTCTATTTGCAAAACAAACAAGAACAATATTAAATACAATAAGGAAATGAAAACAATAAGACACGAATGTTTCTTACATATAACAAACCTCTACTGTCCTTACTGCGATGACAAAATATTCGGAAGTCTTGGCTCATCAGTGATGAATCCTCCCATCTATTTCGTCAATTTAATCTACCAGACCGTTTCTTAGAGCTCTAATACTGTATTGGACGATTTTTCTTATATATGCTACACTGAAGGGTGGAATATTATAAATGATATTCAAGAAAACTCTGAAGAAATTAACGTAGACACCTTCAGAGATAAGACAACCGAATTTAAAGTCATTAAACTCTCTCTCTCTCTTTCTAAAGAAACAATAAACATTAAAAATAATAAATTCCTACCACCCAGACCCCACCCCAATAGACATAACAACTTTGGAAGGAATATGCAGCAGATCAACAATCTCTACAGTAATTCTCGGAGATTTTAATGCAAAAAGTCCAACATGGGGATCTAACGCTCTAAACTCAAAGGGAGCTTGAAGACCTCATCAACGACCAAGACCTTGCCATTGAGAATTACAGGAGAGATGACCTATCTTTCAAAGATTCATGGTTTTATGGACAAGAGACCACCACCAAGAAAACTATGGTTAAAACTACAATATAGTAGTGTAGAACATATTTTTCTCTCATTATATAGTAGGTATTTAAAATATGTATAAGATAACATGTATATAAAAATGTATTTATTATTAAATTGTTAAGTGATAATCCTGTTGAAGGACTGACAAGTCCGAAAGCTTGAAAATAAAAAGTTGAACAAGAAACTTAACCCTGGAAACTTCATTTATTTTATAAAACTACAATAAGTTCAAGTACAATGCGTACAATACAGTACAATAAGTACAAGAACTTCGGAAATGATGATTGGGTTTTCTTAAGTCTGGTCATCTACGGACAATGACTTTCCAGAATGGTTGCAAGGTTTTCCCACTATGTACTAAGTGTCAACCTGCAACCTCAAAACACATTATTGGCTGTATTGAGTCATCCATTGATAAACTCTACTCTTCCCCGGCAGACACCATCAACAAGCTTTATAAGCTTGATACCTTAATATGATTGAGTGGAGATAAGAAAGAAGAAAAAGAAGACTTCGGAAATGAGTGTATATACAAGTAGTATACTCGTAGATCCATCAGCGCACAGTGAAACCTGTAAAGAGGACAGTTTTCAAAGATATGAGACATTGTGACTGTCCACACAGTCCTGAAAACGACAGTATATGTCATCAAAGCTACCGCTTTTCTAACAAAAGAAAATCTGACATGTACTCTACACTAGAAATATGACCGAGAAGAACTGTAGGAACAACTTTGTCAATAAAAAAACCAGAAGATATTGACCCATATCCACGACCGCCAAAGTCAACACAAAGTTCCTGGATTCTTCAATGTCAAGTGGTTAAAAAGACCTTCCGTATGAACAACACCCTGGGTGCTGTGGATTATCTCTTACACCTCTAATCCCGCTAATGGCAGGATAAATCCTTGGGATTTACTCCCAAATCCTTCTTTTCTTATCCTATATCTTGTTGAACTTCTTTATTCTTTCTTTAAAAGGTTTTCTTTGAATTGACTTAACGTTAGGAACTGTTCGTATTCAATGTTTCAATTGATGTTGATTTATTTTTTAAATGGTTCATAGAATATTGAGTTTTATTATTTTTGACTATGATATCTTTAAATTGATTAGTTTTATAAATATAGTTGATCGCAAATGATTCAATATCATAGAATATTGAGTTTTATTATTTTTGACTATGGTATCTTTAAATTGACTAGTTTTATAAATATAGTTGATCTTAAATGATTCAATATCATAGAATATTGAGTTTTATTATTTTTGACTATGGTATCTTTAAATTGACTAGTTTTATAAATATAGTTGATATCAAATGATTCAATATCATATAATATTGAGTTTTATTATTTTTGACTATGGTATCTTTAAATTGACTAGTTTTATAAATATAGTTGATCTCGATTGATTCACTTTCTATTGAATCATTTTTTAAAATTTTCTTGATTACATGCATATTATTTTTAAATATACCTTATTTTTATAGAATATTGTTTCATTATATTTTCTTGGTTTATATATTTGTATTATTATTAATTTTTTGGATAAAGTTCTTCAAATTAAAGATACTTCGGCCAGTAAATCTTTTTTATTGTCTCAACATTTCGACAAAAATCTTTTGTCCTCGTCAGGAACGAACAAAAATCAAAACATTTGGCAAAGCGTCAAAATTTATTCTAAGGCTACAAAGGCAGAAGTATCTACAATTTGAAGAACTATGAATTCCGGCCAGGCAGCCTCTATCTTTACGATTGTTGGATAAAATAGACATACTATGGACTTTATATGGACCGTCGTATGGGGGAGCTAGCGGTGGCAATATCAGGTCCCGACGTAGATAGACATGGGAACATGTCTCGAGTGGTTTGGGCACGTAAACGTGGTGGTTCCCATGTGGCTTGCTTGGTGCAGGTTTCAGAGATGCCATGGCGCGCTTGAAGTCCTCCAGCCACGGTTCGGTAGGCGAGCTTGCAAAGGGGGGTCCTCGAAAAATGTTCCTGGAAGGGGTAGGGGCTTCCCATAGACCAGCTCAGCGGTTGTGGTGTTGAGGGACTTTATACTGTCATAAAAGTTTGTCTTTATAGTTTGTTAAAATGCTATCACTAGGATTTTTAACCTTTATTGTCACACATATAAGCTTCTATTAGAAGAAAAAAATATATAAAGTATAAAATCAAAATATAAACAGTAGAAATGTGTTTCTTAATTTGTACAAAGTACAAGCTTTCGGATCTTTATAATCCTCCTACAGGCCTAACCTATACATAATCATTATAAAGATCAGAAAGCTTGTACTTTACACAAATAATGAAATACATTACTACTGTTTATATTCTTATTTTACATATATAAGTCTCACTTATCACCAAAAACTACGAGTTTTAAAATATATATATTTTTTATTCTTTGACAATTGACAATTAAAACAGGTTTATTAACATCTAGTCAACAGAAAAATGAGATTTTAAAATTAGAGTAAAATAAAGAATTTTTTGTGTTTATTCAATTTTTTTGAAAGCCTTTTTATTCTCAAATTACAAGTATAATCCCTTTAAATATGAAATGGAGAACAAACGCCAAAGAAAGAAAGAGATTCTAATCCTAAAAAAAAGTAGAAAGAGAGAGAGAAGTAAAAATATTATAAATATTAAAGATAAATATAAAGAAGTTAAAATATGGAATGGAGAACAAACGCCAAAAAAAAAAAAAAAAGGAAGAAAGAAGAGATCCTAAAAAAAAAGTAGAAAGAAGTAAAAATACTGAAGATATAAATAGAGATTATGTCTATCTATGTGACAGGATACCTGTCATCATAGAAAATGTTGGCTATATTCTGTGATATACGTTGGCAGAGTAGAACTATGGAAAGCTATGGCATCTTATATATGGGAGTAATCCATGGCAGTTTGTATGAGTGGGAGTTACTACATAGAGTTTACTATGGGGCATCGTGAGAAAATCCTTCTCCGTGGGATTTAGAAAAGCCCTCTACCATATATGGGCATGTACCATAATTCCTATGACACGTAACAGTCATTTATTTATTTATTTAACAGTTGGGAGAGACACGCCATATGCACAATTAGGATAATTGCGTGTATATACAATTAATACAATTGAACATTAGGAATAATGAAAATTTCGTTCGATGTCAAATTTTGCATATAGCAATTAGAAATAGTAGCTTGAAATATGTACAGTCAACACTTTCGCCTTGAAATATACATCCTGCAGAATCTATTAAACTTAATGTATTGGTCTTTATTGCAAGCAACTTGTTTTGTATTAGTCAGGTAAAGTTGGTTTTCTTCCCTTAGATCAGAAGTTAATGGACAGTTTATCAGAAGGTGTTCAGGGGTTTGTCTTTCGTTTCCACAAGTGCATGCAGGTGAATCACGTAAGTCATGTCTAATCTATATTCATTATAAAATTGTAAAAAAAGTTTGAAAAATATTTTCTCACAAAAAAAAAAGAGTTTCTTTATATTTTAAAATGTAAGATTTCAAGTGATAATTACTCTTCAACGGACTTAATAAAAAACATCGACTATATCTTACAAGAAATATTTACAAATATAAACTCGCGCAGCATAGATATTTATAAAACGACACTTGAAGTTACACCGCATGAGTTTCTTTTCAATGAAAAATCAAATTTTATTTTAAGATGAAATATTGACTATTTCTAACCTTTTTGGATGAGGTATGAAAGGATGAATTATGAAGAGTAATGATGAACGGAAAAAATAAAAGTGTCCAGGGATGGGATTCGAACCCGCAATGTTCCGCTTACCGGGCAGATGTCATGTCCACTAGGCTGTTTTCCCATCCCTGGACACTTTTATTTTTCCGTTCATCATTACCCTTTATAATTCAACCTTTCATACCTCATCCAAAAAGGTTAGAAATAGTCAATATTTCACCTTGAAATAAAATTTTGATTTTTCATTGAAAAGAAACTCATGCGGTGTAACTTCAAAGTGTCGTTTTGCAATCACAGGCCTCAGTGTATTATATAGATATTTATAACTGAATTTTTTAAAATTTTGAATGTTTAAACTTACCGTAGAAATTACATATTCATTGTGTGTGAGTTTGGTAGATAATTTTTTTTTCTTTCCTATCAAAGGTATTTAATAGTATATAGGTATATTTTAAAAATGGATTTTTTTTGTGTGTGTTGAATGTGTGTGATGTTATTGTTGTTTTTATTTCGCCTTTAACTTTTAATAATGGTTTTTTATATAATTTTTACTTTAGCTTTATGACTTTATATAATATTTACGAACGGAAAAATATGTCCAGGATAGCCTAGTGGACATGGCATCTGCCCGGTAAGTGGAACACTGTGGGTTCGTTTCCCATCCCTGGACACTTTTATTTTTCCGTTTATCATTACTCTTTACAATTCATCCTATCATACTTCATCCCTAAGGTTAGAAATAATCGTTATTTCTCCTTAAAATAAATTTCGATTTTTCGTTCAAAAGAAACACATGCGGGATAATTTTCAAATGTCGTTCTACATTTTTTTATTTGATTATTTTGTTATTGTGTGGCTATAGAATTGGGTTGTTTATTAAAATTTAATTTTATAATAAATTTTAATAATATTGTTTTTATGATAGAAATAAGTAACGCTAAGTAAAATGTTTGATGACAAGATGTTCTTAAGGAAGTGGACAGTCTTTGATTTATTACCTCAGGACTAGTTCTCCAGAAATATAAAGAAATAGAAGCCATGGATCGATTGCTGGAACGATGTAGGGAGCTGGCGTGTGAAGACGAGGAACACTGGACATGGAGCACAGGACGACCATAGAAGAGATCCAGGAGAACGCCCTAGAGCAGATGACAGGAGACAGACAAGAATGGATCAAGGCCAGGGGACCATTTTATCGAGGAGCCACCAGCCATAGAAAGACTGCTGGAAAGCTGCAGGACATCAGGGGACCATATCTGTGCACAGCCCTGACCAGGATTCAAGATAGCAAATATAAATATTTGAAAGAGGAAAAATAAAAATCAGGTAAAAATTTTCTTTTAATTTTGAATTTGCAAGTTTTCAAGCAAATATACTGCTCTTCAACTGGCTAATACTCTATGTACAATCTCTTAATGATCTTTATACAGAATAATCGGAAAACTTTTGTTATTGCCAATTATTTTGTATAAATATTATTAAGAGATTATACATATAAAGTATCAGCCCGTTGAAGATCAGTATATTTGCTCGAAAACTTGCAAATTCAAAATAAAAAGAAAATGTTTACCTGATTTTTTTATTTTTACTCTTTCAAATAATTTCTGGGTAACTATTGATAACATAATTATAAATGTCTTTGCTTTCCTTACAGTTATTATTTATTGAAGTTGTAAATAATAAATATGTAAATAAACTGACCATTCGTTATACACTTTTTATAGAAAAACTTGCAACCTCTTTTTGAAAAATAAAGTTTTTATTAGTAGTAGTAGTATTTCAATTTCCAATTATTACAATTATTTTATTTCCAAAGCGCTATATCCCGCAAGGGATACTTGCGTCAAACAAGGAGAAAAGTTTATTTACATAAGTTATTTACATTATTCAACGCATGAAAACATTAAAGATCCAGATTTTGTAGAAAGTTTAAAATATATTTACAAAATGAATTGAACTTTAAATATGATTTTTTTTTATCGGAAATCAAATCGCCAAGTTCACAAAAACTAGTTCATTCTTTATTTTATTATCTTGAAATGCTGGGCAATCGATCAGTAGATGTCTTGAAGTTTGTTCCTCAATACCACAAAAGCAACTTGAATCCTCCACTGCCTTTATTATATTTAAAAAGAACTTTTGAAATTTCCGTGGTAGTAGTATAGTATACATATTACTATGGGGGTCGGTGGAAGGATGGTCTAAACCGTTGGTTTTCGACCGCTACGACCCGGGTTCGATTCCCGCAATGGACACTTTTTTTCTGATTAAAAAAAAAAAATGCTCCAATGGCCCCCGTTTCTTGCAAAAGTCCAACCCCACCAGCGAGTGCAAGTAATCAAATGGGGCTCTGGTACATTTGTAAGTGAAAAGTCGAACTGCTTTTCACATGTGTAGACATGTGGTGCACTTACAGTAAAAGCAGTCGCCTTCTTCTACTCACCATGATTATCATGGCCTGTACAACGTGTACTAGGGATAAGAAAAAGAAAACATATTACTACCACTATAATAATTAGGCTAGCTTTCAAGTCAATAGTTATTCATCAGGGCCCAGTGAATGATGAAATGATTCATAAAATTAATAAAAAGGCATCTCTCCTGATATTTTCTTAATTTATCAACTTAATCCCAGTATAATTTGACTTTTTTACTATTTTTTCATAGAGCTATGTCACACAAGTTTTAAGATCCAATAACTGCTTTAAATCCAATAGTGCGGAAGCTTCTCCAGAACATATCTTTTCATGCTCAGAACTGACAATAGAGGACCTATTTTCCAGGCCTATAACTACCATCACAAAATTGGAGAGGAGTGGACTTCAGGAATTGGTTTAACTCTGGAGGTAAGCACCACCACCACCAAGACTCCAGTAGACTAAACTGGAGATGTTGCCTGTAAAGTTTCACCATAGAGATAGAAATAAGCCTGGCAACTCTGTATTTTACTTTTTATTCAATGATTATTTAAGAATTTGTCTTTTTCATAAAATAAAAATAGTGCTTTAAGAATTTTTTTTCATTTTTCATATAAATATGGCAATATTATATCTATAAATTATTTTCTATAAAATGAATAGAAAGTATTTGGCTTAATAATGAGTTATAATAATCTTTTGATACATTATAAAGGAAGTTATTTTATAAATAATTACGCGCTCGTTCTGATTTATGATCGGAAAATTTTATAGCTTACTATAACGTATCGTAGAAAAAAAAAGAAAAAATATCATCTTGCATTCAGAACTTCTAAAAAGCGTTAAAATTCCATGCCAAAAGATCTCACGTACATGTTAAGCAGCCAATAAATCGCGTGACCTATAAAGTCACATGACACATCGACGTGACCAAGCACGTTATCATCTTCTACCATAAAAAGAAAAATAAAATTAAAAAATTGGAATTAGGTCGGACACCCCTGGCTCACATGGCAGCCGACGAAGAAGGCATGGCTCCGGGCGCCATCTTTTTTTTTTCCCGCGCGCTATCTAATTGGTCGTATGCGTGAGAAGAATATGCCCTGAAGAAATGACCACCTCGACCTTGATAAATGCTTTAAGTAGGCTTCGCGATTTCTCCTTTTGATTTTATTTCCTTTTTATCTCACTACTCTGTGAATATTTGAATTAAAATTAATTCTCCTTCACTTTTACCTCTATTATCAATTTGAAGAAAATTATAGGAAAATATTAAACTAAAAATAAAGAATTCAATATAGAGCCTAGTTTATTAAAATATATTATATTGTCAATGTAGTGATGACGTCATTTAATTAAGATAAACAAAATGTTTATTTATAAATAAGCTAGTTAATAACACTGTTATAGTAGTGTAAGTAATAAGTATGTAAGTAATAACACTGGTTATGCAGATAAAATCAAAAATCATTTACAATAATAATTATTAAACAAGGTATATTAAACAGCAGTGAGGCCAATTCAATCCACACTAAGATTAATTTCTTTAATCAGTGATATTTTATTATTTAAATAAATTATTCACTGACAATATTTTAACAGATTATTTACTATTCTTTGAAAATATTTTAAATTTCGATATTTGTATTTTGATACATTGTAAAATTTTCTAATTGCCTCTTTGCTATTTAATTAGTTTTAATTTGGTTTTACATTAAATAGATTGCTGTGTAATTCTGAGGTTTGTCTTTCCTAATTGTCTACGTTACAATATATTAAAAGATATGAAAACTCCACCTTTGCCAGTCTCAAGCCCGGATGAAAAAGGAGGAGGGGGAGCAGTAACAAGCTCGCTAAAAAAACCTGGACTAAGCTGGCCTGGCTGATAGTACCCTGTAAGGGCTCCTAATCCAGGTATACAGGATGAGCAGCGTTTGTACTCCATGTTAGGAGTGGCTGCACATGGCGTCTGTTCCTCATGTCAGAGGCGGTCATTTATTTTGGAGATAAGTCGGCCTGCTACTGAGTAGTGCTCCCAGTCTTAATGACAAAGGCAGATGTATTCTACTTCACCCAGTCATGATGGTTGTCAAACAGACACCAATAGGGTCACAACTTGATATCCTAATATTATTGAGTGGAGATAAGAAAGAAGAAAATATATGATCACGCTGTACACAAAATCTACTAGAATAAATATCAAATAAATGTTAAAATATTATCAATCAAAATCATTTGTAAATGTAAATATTAATTCCAGATTCTGTGATTGTAGAGAAATTATACAAATATTTTTGTTTCAGTAGTTCAAATCAAAGAATTAGACAATAAAGCCATATTTTAAACGGTCATTACCTTAATCAAATTTTAAATGCTCAATTATTGATAATGATAAAATCTGAAATGCGTCTTGATCACAATGATAAGCCAAGATTCTTATATCAATATTTTAATCTTTAATTTTTCCATTGCAGTAAGGGCAGCAGAAATTGTTTAATTTCAAAAAGAATCTTACGCGTTTAAAATAGTTTCGAATTTTGATAACAGATGGCGCGCTAGTGCATCATATTATATCAATATATACTTCACCTTTAATAGAGATATTTATTTTATTTCTTAAATAGCACACAAAAAAAACTTTTTTCAATAGAATGCATACTTTTTATTTCACACATCACGATTAAAAAAAAAAAGGATGTCAGGTTAATTATCTAATA